AATAGGCACTCTTGATGAAATAAGAGAAACTGCAAATTATTTGAAATCTGAATTTGAGATGAAAGACCTTGGGAAAACTCGATTTTGTTTAGGCCTTGAACTAGAACATCGAGTTGGTGGGATATTAATCCACCAGTCTGCGTATGTCCAAAAGGTACTCAGGCGATTTAACATGGACAAAGCGCATACTGCTAGCACTCCCATGGTCGGCCGAAGTTTAGATCCTAAAAAGGATCCATTTCGTCCAAAGGAAGAGGATGAAGAGGTATTAGGAGCTGAAATTCCATACTTAAGTGCCATAGGTGCATTATTGTACCTAGCTCAGTGTACTCGGCCGGATATAGCATTCTCAGTGAACTTGTTAGCTAGATTTAGCTCTGCGCCAACGCAACGTCACTGGAACGGTATCAAAAATATTTTGAGGTATTTAAAGGGAACCAGTGATATGGGACTATTCTTTCCTTACAAAAGGACAAAGGAAGCTATGAATTCTAAGAAAATGGTTGAAGAAGGAAGTTCGTCCTCAAACCTAGAAACACCAAATGAGGTACTAATTGGGTATGCTGATGCAGGATATTTATCTGATCCACACAAGGGTCATTCCCAAACTGGTTATGTATTCACAGTTGGTAACACTGCAATATCGTGGAGGTCAACCAAGCAAACTCTAGTAGCCACCTCATCAAACCACTCAGAGATAATAGCTCTACATGAGGCGGTTCGCGAGTGTATATGGTTAAGAACTATCATTACACACATTCGCGGGGCTAGTGGTTTGAGACCAACCACTGAAGAACCCACATGCATTTACGAGGATAATGCTGCTTGCATCGAGCAAATGAAACTTGGATTTATCAAAGGTGATAACACTAAACATATTTCTCCCAAATTTTTCTATAATCAACAACAACAAATTCTCCTCAAGATCCAAGTAAATCAAATAAGATCTGAGGAGAATGTGGCAGATTTATTCACCAAATCATTACCTAAAGCCACATTTGAGAAACATGTTAAAAATATTGGGATGCGTAGACTTTCGGATCTTCCTTGATCATGTACACTTCAGGGGGAGATTTGAATATTCAAGGTCTAGCTTTCATTTTATGTTACACTCTTTTCCTTAAACCAAGGTTTATTTTTCCCATTGGGTTTTGTTACTTGGTAAGGTTTTTAATGAGGTAACAATATGCATGAACATAGCGATCGAAGTAAGGATCGGTATTCTTTTCTTTGTTCAAGATTTTTATTCACAGGATTTTGACACTTGACGAGATTTTGACAAGAGATCAAGATTCTGTAATTCTACCTACAGCTCAGCACAAGGGGGAGTGTTGAAGGAATTTGTAAATTAGTGTGCTGTTGTGTAGATAGAATTTACTTTATATTGTGTAATAAGTTGTACTGGCCCGTGGGCCTTCTTTTGTAAAATCCTACGAAGCTCTTCCTATATAAGGGGAGCTATTATCAATAGAGAATGACACATCTCCTACAACAATGATTCTTATTTTGATATTTTTATAGTTTTTTTATTCTTATATAGGAAGTTCCCTCATGAATCTAATGGCCTTATATGAAATATATCAGATTAGGCCATAATTGAAAAATATTGAAAATAAATGATGTTATTAAGTAATGTGAAGTCATTTTGCATTATATGAGAGATAACTCTCCTTTTGACCTAAAAAAACTTCGCTTTTGCATTTTATTGGAGAACTTACGTAAATAATACTAAAAGACTTTTTCTAAATAGTATTACTTGTGTTTTTTTCCAATGTAGCTCTTTTAATCATTATCCATTAGTCATTATTCAAGCAAATGTTCGCTATCACTAGACATTACAGACATTATTAAGTACTATTTAGGAAATAAAATAATTTAAGTGTTATTTAGAAAACTGATATAAGTTTTAGCGTTATTTAGGGCAAATATTTCATTTTTATCTTCTCTTTTGATGTGTTAAGGAGATTTAAAAATGTATATAGAAGCCCATGTTCATGCGAATAGGCCCACAATTTTTTTGAAAGAGAAAGTAGGCCCATAAATAAGATAGGTGAATTAATTCTATTAATATGGACTGCTCTCGGCCTGTCAATGAAAAATACCCCCACCCTTCCTTTTTAAATGTTTGATTCGAGTTTAAATTTAGTGAAATTTACACTAATAGAACTAAATATATATCAGTTTTCAATGTAGTAATTACATTTTTTATTTTCTAAATAGTATTTAGTTCTATTTAGTGTTATATGCCATGAAGGCACATTCAATAGCCATGACTCACCATCATTAGTAATATTTTTAATGGTGTGTTAATACCACCATTAACATGGGGATTACACCCATAATGTTTAAAATTCTTCCTATTTAATTGGAGATTAATGGCTAGTTAACTCCGTAAAAGTGGAATAATTTTAAACATTACGTAACGGGTTAACTCTGAGAATCAATTTCTCATTCACCCTTCTACCATTTTTGGCGTATAATATATCAAAATATTTATCTCATTTAAGAGAACACACGTCCTTTAATTAACGGTTAAAACCGTTAGTGGACCTATTGATAATTATACCCAAGTTGGTCCATTTAATGCCTATTAAAAATGCCAAAAATTCCAACAATCCCCCACATGAATGAAAAATTGATTTGGTGGTCGACAACATCCCACGGTTGAAAACCTGCAAAGAACATGTAAGTGTCTCCACTTTTGAACATGTCCCTTGTAAAGTATACCTTCTTTACTGGCTGTTCAGGCGATGTCTTTGAACTGTACTGTCGCTTGTGTAAACGATAGTATACCATACACAGATTCCAACCAAATGTCGTTCTGTTCTCATGGTTGTGCCCATTTTGGTCGTGGGACACGCGCCTGGTTCTGCGAGAGTGTTTAGAGGATTAAGCCCAAGATCCTCCGTTTGAAGCGACCACACTTCACTCTTACATAGGTGATTCTTTAAGAGTATCCCGATTACTCCCCTTAGACCACCGTGTCTATTGGTTATGAATCATTAAAACATATTTATACGCTAACCTCATCATTTTTGGGAGTCACTGTCTTCAGCAGGAACAGAAGGGACTGACCGAAGGTTCCGGTACCGCCCCCATAGTATTTAGATAATGTCTAGTACCAGAAACAATGTTCAATGATGGTGGACATTTAATTTGAACAATTTTTAGTGATGGTGGATATCTAGTTTAAATAATGTCTAGTGACAGTGAATATTTACTTGAACATATCAATGGATAATGACTTGTGATACTACATTAGGAGATAAAAACATATGGTATTACATTGGCAAAATCACCATATTTTAGTACTATTTAGATAAATTTTCTTTAAATTGACTAATAATATTTCTTAAAATATATTAATAAAAAATTATTAAAAATAGTTATTTAAAGTGTTTTTCAATATATTTTTTATACTTAAATTCATCCTATAATTTTATATATAATTAATCAAACATTTGACACGCATAAGATATTTAAAAAAATGGAAGGAATAATCAAAACTTTTGAATCTCACTTGTTTGGGACACTATTTTTTTTTCAACAATTAGTCATTTTGGACAAAAGTACTATCACTCCGTACATATATGGATTATGTGTATAAAGAAAAAGAATATTTAATTTGTTTTTAAAAAAAGAAGAATAAAAATACTCCATAACTAATCCACAACATGAACGGATGAACCACTGCAGCATCAGTCCAAATTCCCCATCATGGATTGGACAACGGGTCGGTCCGGTTAATCAATCCGGTCGCCCACTGCCTACCGCCAGTCGAACAAGACGTATCTACAAACGATGACCGCCACGTGTACGCTGCCCACAGATCCCCCAGAAACCCTCGGCTTATCCCTCACTCTGCATCTTCTTCTCCCTTCCGCCATCCCTCTCTCTCTCTCTCTCTAGAATTCTCAAAGATCTTATCTTCTCCTCTCTCTGTCCATCTATAGCGCGATTTTACTCTTTTATCCTCCATTTACGGCGTTTTCCTCCTGCGGGGTTTTCGTGATGCTTCTTGAAGAACAGGGCACGCAGAGATCGTGCATCTGTATGTTGGGGTTTAATAGAAATTGAGTTCGACCCTTTATAGAGATTGAAGAGATTGAAAATGGGTCGTTTTTATATTTCAATTTCATTTTGTATTTTTGAAGTAATTTAGATTTTGCCCTTTTGGGAATTGGGTTTCTTCCCGGAGTTAAGTTTAGGGTTCTTCAGATTTAGGCAAATTCATGTATATATTGGGCGTCTGAGAGGAAAATAAAGTGGCGAAAATGAGTCTGAGGACGGCGTCGGATGATTCGGCGTCGGAAATCCATCTTCCGGCGGATATAGACTGGGAGATGCTGGACAAATCCAAGTTCTTCTTCCTCGGGGCGGCGCTATTTTCCGGCGTATCGGCGACGCTGTACCCGGCGGTGGTGTTGAAAACGCGGCAACAGGTGGTGGCGTCCCGGATCCCCTGCCTGGAGATGGCGAATTCGATGCTGAGAAACGAAGGGCTCCGGGGGTTTTACAGAGGGTTCGGGACTTCCCTCACGGGAACCATCCCGGCGCGTGCACTGTACATGGGCGCGTTGGAGATGACAAAGAGCAATGTGGGGACCGCCACTGTTCGGCTGGGATTCTCTGACGCCGCCGCCGCTGCCATCGCCAATGCTGCCGCCGGTCTGAGCGCCGCCATGGCGGCTCAGCTTGTGTGGACTCCCATAGATGTGGTGAGCCAGAGGCTAATGGTTCAAGGTGAGATTTACTTTTCCCCATTCTCTTGCATTCATGCTTTTAAATGCTTTTTAGACCACATTTTAAATGTACCCATTAATTATCTATTTATAATAATGCAAAATCGCATTACAATATCCTTATAATAATAATAATAATCCATTTTACATAATGTCTATTTATAATTCAAAAAAATTATTAGCATGTTGAATTGTTGGCAGCTTATGTAATTGATCATAAGATTGAATAGATATTACGGAGTCTAAGTCTAACTTTATATTTTACTATTTCAGTTTCTCTATAACTTATGTTAATTTATATCTTTTCATTAATCTTTTGATAAGATATAATATTCTTGTCACATTTTGTCTTGTAGAGTCTTTGATGTACTTTTGAACATACCATATTATACGGTGATTTTAATAAATTGGTAACATTTCAATATACTCGTAATAAAGTGATTAGTGTTCAAAAAGTACTTGTAATACTTGTTTAGGTAGATTTTTTTTAAACGTAATTCCCACTAATCGCAATCATGAACTCTATATCTTTAATCATCTCAGGGTTTTTAACCCAAGGTGGTGGAGGTGGGCTGAAGAGCTACAATGGCGGAATAGATGCGTTCAGGAAGATACTCTGCACCAATGGAGTGACCGGACTGTACAGGGGATTCGGGATCTCCATCCTGACCTACGCCCCATCCAACGCCGTGTGGTGGGCCTCCTACTCCGTGTGCCACCGCGGGATCTGGCGGCTGATCGGCTGCCGCGGCTGCAGGAGGGAGGATTCCGGCGGTGGGTACAGGGCGGACGGGCAGGCGGTGGTGGCGGTGCAGGCGGCGAGCGCCACCCTGGCGAGCGGCGTGTCGGCCCTGGCGACGATGCCGCTGGACACGATCAAGACGAGGCTGCAGGTGCTGGAAGGGGAGGAGGCGGCGGCCGAGAGGCGGAGGAGGCGGCCGGCGGTGGCGGAGACGGTGAGGGAGTTGGTGAGGGAAGGCGGTTTCCGGGCGTGTTACCGGGGGCTGGGCCCGAGGTGGGCCTGCATGTCGATGTCGGCCACCACCATGATCACCACCTATGAGTTCCTCAAGAGGCTGTCTACCAAGAATCAAGAAACACCAGTGTTCTATTGAGTAGAGTAGGGGTGGGGGTGGGGGTGGGGGTGTGGTGGGGCCCGTGGGGTTGTCGGGATTCGAACTTGGGTTAATCTCACGTGGGACCGCCCTCTCGACCAACTGAGTTACGCCCCGGACATGTTATGGTTTAGTTTTTTTTTCTTTTTTTTTTTTTTTTGCATAAATGTTATGGTTTAGTTTAGCTATGGCCTTGATAGGCTGCCATATTGTAAATATTGTGAAATGAAAGAAATGCAATAATTGCGTTGTGTATAATCTTTACATGAGATTTTTGCATTTTTAACTTCTTATTTATTATATTAAGACCTTAGTTTTTTTGCATTTATCATTTCTAATTTAGAACAAATAATTAGACTTTAATGGGATCCTGGTATCAAATAGTAGAGCATGTATTTGGTATTTACATAGACTTTATGTTTGTTAGTAATTGAACACATGTTTTATCGCATTGGAACTTCTTATTTTTGCCTACTATGCAACTGCACACAATTTTCTGTAAGACTTGTATCGTAGTTAAAATTAGATCATTTGAAAAGTAATATGCAAAAGGAGATATAATTTGTGGAATACTACTCCCTCCGTCCCCCTAAGATGTTCTCATTTTGACTTTTGGTGATTTTTAAGGAGAGTTGAAAAAAGGTGAAAGTTTACCATAATACCCTTAATGAAAAATGGGTGGAGTGTATTAAATGAGGTGGGTGAGGTGTAATAAATAAAGTAAGTGGGGGTAGTTGTGGTATTTTAATTGTTAAAAAATGAAATGAGAAGTTCTATTGTGGACAAAGAAAAAGGGCTATTAGAAAGATCTATGGTGGACGGAGAAAGTATATAAAAGTATTAAAATTCTAAGGAGTAGTGTTATTAGTTTATTACTCTATATGATTTTGGAATATGTTTATTAAATCTTTTCTTTAGATTATTAATGAATTGACAAATTGAAGAGACAGATAATGACAGCCTCACCAATCCACATTTTAATGCAATGTGGCACCTACATCCACCATTTTATCCAACAATTGATAAATGGAATATTAAATTAGAAAATGAAATTTAATGAGTGCTATGGGACACCACCCTTCAACATTTATGCATTATAGGGCCAGCAGCAACAACAAATAAAAGGATCATGCTACACTTACACCAAAAAATATACCCCATTTGTACACCACAGGTTTGCACAAACATTTCGATGGTTTACACCGACACAAGTGTTGGTGCGTTAATAAAAATTCACACGGACACAAATGTTGGTGCATTTAACAAAAATTAGTTTTACACAAAGTGTTGGTGCAAAACTGCAGGGTACAAATTGGAGTACAACCCTTGTGGTACACATAGCATAATCCCAAATAAAATCTTAAAGAAAGTAGGATTGTCAAACCCATTAATCCTAGGACCTAGAATTGAATCCCGATAGCGGCAGTGTGAGAATTCTATTATTTGTAATAACTCTTTGTGCGCACCGGGGTGGCATTCCCCCTTTAAAAATTGTTGGGTCTGAAAGGAATATGTATGTGTGTGTGTGTATACTGAAAATAGAATAAGCTAAAATCAGATCAAGATGGTCAAAGCATAGGCTTTCAAGCATGGTCAAGAATTAAATAATGAAAATAGAATCAGCTAAAATTAGATAAAAATTATGATTGTTACAAATGCAAATCATTCAAAGCTCAAGTGCATTGGTCAAAGCTCAAGTGCATTGGGAAATCAAGAATTAAGGGAATTCCTCTTCTTATATAAATAGTAACCAAACCTCTACAAACAACACATTTCAAAAGCCTCCAAACATGAATACCCTTTCTTAATGGGTCCAAGCAAATTTTGGGTGTGTGTTTTTTCTCCTCTTCTTTTTCTCCTTCCTCCCGCAGGCGGGTTTATGGCCCCACGCGGGCCCTCTTGTTACTGCAAGAGGGGCATTTGTACTGTTTAATATGCTCGGCGCGGGCGGGAGTGATCTTCACGCACTTGCCATGGAACCACGTTTCACAAATGTCACAGCAGATCCAGAACTCGTGGTTCGCGTAGCTCTCCCCGCAGGCCCCACACTGTGTCTCCCCCTGCTCTTCATCCTCCTCCTCGCCGTCGTCGTCATCTTCTTCTTCCTCCTCTTCCAGCCCTGCCCCACCATCATCTTCGTCGTCTTCCTCCACGCGTTTTTGTTGAGGTTTTGGGTACTTGCTCTGGTTCATATGACCCCATTAATGGCAATCAAAAGCACTCATCACCAAATATAATAAAGGCGACAAGATGTCATCAAGGAAAGGTTTTAGACTCGACCATAAGCTCAAGCTCGTGATTGTAGGCCTAGAAAAGGTTTCATACAATCCCTCTCTTACGCTATATTTGGTTCAAAAAATTTGAAAGGGAAACGAAAAGAAAATGAGAACGAAAACAATTTTTCTTGCTTGTTAGAGAGGAAAATAAAAGAAAAGTGGAAATCAAAATGTATTAAGAAAAGGGATAACGGGATTCCTCCTATTTTGGTGAGATATATTGAGAGAAAACAATTTTCTTTTCCTTCTGAATTCCTTGGAACCAAACATAGTGTTAGAATATATGGAGTAACTAATCATGAGCCTAAAAGCACAAGCTTGAGTTCTTGGTTGAATTAATTCCTTGACACCCACTCATGTAAGGGTTTGAACCCGCGACCTGTGGGTCAAGAAGGCTTTGATACCATGTCAAGGAACCAACTCGACAAGACTTTGGTTGATCTGGATCAATACGGTTCCGGATACGAGTTCCAGCTCGACCCATTCACACGTTTGAATATGGGAGGGGAGGAAATAGTACCTTAGAGTTAGAGTTAGATTTGGACTTGTTGCTGCCGTGGGTTGTCTTCTCCTTTTGTTGTTTCTTCGCTGTCCCCGTCACGACCTCAAATATTGTGGGGAGGTCGTTTATCATATTGAACAACCGCCTTCTGCACAATCCAAGACCGACATGACCTCAACCGTGACATGGCATAAGCTCATAAATTATGAAACTAATACATACATACAATTCGTATAAGCATTTTTTCATAGTAAAACTAAAGAAAGGTTATCACTTTTGGCTCTACGCCTATTGGGTCACTCTCACCATGAGTTATTGTTATCGAATTTCAACTTTCCTACTTTTGGTGTGTGATTAAGGATTTGTTTCCACTCTTTTGTCCTTCTCTATCCCTCCCAACCAATTTCTATACAATTTGGGACTTGATATGTGTGAGATGAACGACGGGAAAGGGCAAAAAGTGTCAACAGATCCAGTCATCCAGCAAACTGGAAATAAATCAATTTGAGGACCAAAAAAAGAAAATTTTTCAAGCATGAAAATACAGAATTATACCTATCAGCTTTGTCGAACCCAAATCTTGCACCAAAATAGAAAGAAACAGAAAGTAACCATGCATCACTATGCACAGCAACCAAAGAAATCCAATCCTTTTCCTGCATTCCGTCTCGGGCAAAGTTAATACCCAAAGCAGGTTCCGGAAGCTCCGGGGGTACCTCTTCAGCTGGTATATTCACTTCCCATTGTTCACTTGGAAACCCGTAAAGGCAGAGGTTTTCCTTCTCTGCAAATAAATACCAAAAGTTTAAGGGTCTTTTAGAACTTGGAAAATATTGGGTAACTAGTAGATGAAGTAGAAGGTAGGGGATGAAAGATTGGTTTAAACTCATTACGCTTCTTTTTAAAAATGTTCAAACACACTTATTTATCTCTTTCTATCATATTAGGACTAGAAAATCTAAACACATACTCTGTATTAACTTTATAAACACATACCCCAAAGTCACCTAGTGTTTCTTTGAACTAAAAGCGTGACTTCTAGACAACGATTTCAAGATCCGGCATGCATTAAACAAACGAACAAAACAACACATTGTAACATTTAAACATGAATAAGCTACACATTGAACCAAAAATGGTTCATATAATGTACCGATTCCATAGATCTAAAGGTCAGTGATTGGATACTTCTGCCATACAAAAAATTTAGTAACAGAAGTCGAATGTGATATGATAACAACATTGTCATACTGAAGTTAGCCATGGCGACTTCATCACATTTCCATATGTCAATTGATAATTTCATCATTTCCCCCTTTTCCAAAGTACCAAGTTTGCGCTACTAGAAATGTTTTTGACCTCATTTTTTTTCATTAATCTGATAAAGAAACGCTCAATCAATTCAATAACTGAAATTTCGCGTTTGTGTGGACACAAAATCACATTTATAAATGTGAATTTGGGTTCAGCTAGACCCATATTAAGCTTTCAGTCCAAATATATAAAATGTGCAACAAAGCTCTCTGGAATAGAATGTCTAGGAAATCACATCCCCACACAAAACTAACAGGCAAAATTCACCCTACAATATGAGAAATTCCCCAAAAACATCCATAAAACTCCTCAAAAAATGTATTTCGAATAATTAAGAAAACAGAACGCCAAAAAAAATCTTCTAAAAAAAATTAAATCTTACAAAAATTAAATCTTTATAGAAAATTTATCGCTGTGTGATTAAAATAAAATAAAAGAGAATTTTAATGTGGGTTATACCTGGATCACACTGGTGGAAAAATTCTTCAACATCTGCAAGAACCCATCAGAGAAAACCCAGTAAATTACTCATAATAAAAATCCACTCAAAATAAGGAATTAAAGAAATAATCTTTTCCGATAAAATCAACGAATCTGAGCTCATGTAAAGGCAATTCAAACAATTGAGTGAGATACCAGTAGTGAGAGCTTTAATTAAGGCAGCCCGCCGACCCTTGAAGTCCCGGAAAACCTCCTCTACAGTTCTTGGGCTGCTGTACTGTTGACCTCCTTCCATGGGTCTCTGAAGAAGCTTCTTCAGCTATGGCGGCGTTGACTGTCGAGTAATTAAGGTACAAAGTATACATACACAGCAGATGAGTTGCTGCAGTTGGCAGAAAGAGAAGGGGAAAGTAGTTGGTTTGGGAGGGAAAAAGGAAATGCGAAAATTTTGGAAGTAGAAAGGGGGAAAGAGGGAGGAGGAGGAGGAGGAGGATGGAGAAGACAGCTATGGACTGTGAGTGAAAGATGAAGTGGATTTCATAAAATGGGGAAGAGTCCGGACTTGTGGTTAAATGAATGTGGGGAGGTACAACTTGGTCTAGAGATAGAAATGCTAGAGTCACAAATACTTCAGTCACAAAATACACAAATTTGCTATTTGTGCATCTCACTTAGTGAATAGAATGATATTAAATAATTAAAAAGTAAACATTTAAATACGCAAATGGTAAGTTTGTGTATTTTGTGATCAAAATGTTTGTGACTCTAGCATTTCTCCTTGGTCTATAAGGTGTATATTTAACATTGTTCTTCTAAGGGTGTTTGATTGGACGTAAAATATTGTTTAGCAAAATTTTGATTTCAATTTCATGTCACATTAGTGAAAGGAAAATATTATATGATTGAATAATAATTTTCCTTAGAATTATTTTCCTTTGAAAAATATTCTTCAATAAAAATATTTTACCTCAAACCAAACACAACCTTAATTGCGGAGTATTTCTCTATTTCAGCGATACGTAGTTGGCAAAGTAATCTCTTCACTTTATGGGGATTATTAGATACATTGAGTTTTGAATGAATGTAGGCTTAAATATGTGTACAATCATTCAAAATCTAATGTATCTAATAAATCTTCATAGATAGTTATTAAGGAATTGAGGAAGTAAGGTGTAATACTTTGTGTTAACATTGAATTAAAAAGGCTTAAAAAGATTGATAGAATTACTCATATTAACGAAAAGCATTTTCTTTTCGAGTGTGACGATGACGTCTTGTAAGTGGATGATTGTGTGAAGGAAAGTGTATGTAATAGACTTAAGAGGGGTGTGACCCAAAACTAATGAGGTAGAAATATTGATTATTTTAATTGGTTAAAATGAATATATGTTAAATTTTGATTGGTTTGATATAAATTTAAAAATAATTTGGAAGGAAGAAGACCATCACTATTGTGATGGTGGTCACCAAAGTTGGGGCAACATCGCCTCACGCAGGCACTACAATGGAGAAGGAGACGTGACGGTCGAGCTAATGCCCGATCATAAAGGGCATAACACATAGCCTTATAAGAAGTATATTATTGTATGTCATTTCACGCTTAAGGTATTTTGCTTGGTTTGAAATTAATTTTTATTTCCATCTAGCACTCCATCCCTCTTTATTTTCGCGACTTGTTATAGTTTTAATGTAGCAAGGGAGAGAGGACAAGAGACATGGGTTTCGCGGAAAAGGGCTAGGGGACAGAGAAAGTTTTAGAAGAAGGAGACTTAGAAGAGGTAGCCGATTTACGAAATGGACTTTGTAAGTATACAAAGGCCATCCATAAATTTGATAATGAACATAAAAAAACCTTGTCCAAAATATAAGAGGTTCTTTTAACAGTAAATGTCATGTTATGACATTGGTCCGTTTGAACTACAGACGGTGTTGTTGGTCCCTCTTTGCATTTTGCCAAAATACTATATTACGAAGGGGCGTGATGCGTTAGAGGGAAAGAAACCACTTTTGCGTACAATAAAACATTACTCCGGCTAATATCTAATGGCGGAAGAATCGTTGCATACATATTCTACTCGTCTCAAATTCAAAATTTCATTAGAACAATAAAAAAGAAAAATTATACCAAAGATTTTGTGGTCCAATAATATCAAAGTGACTCTTTTGTATGAGGTATTGTAAGTTCAATTCCCAAGGAGGTGATAACTTTTGGTGGTTCAATAAGTTTAAAAAAATATGAATAAATACTACTCCAGTTATAATAGAATTATTAATGTTAAAAAAGAGTGATTAGATTATTTTTGGATTAAAAGGGAATATGAATATATGGAGTAATTAATGGTGGGAAGAAAAGTGTGGCCGCCAGGGTTATTTCATTGGTCCCTGGGCCTCCTCTTTCAAACCATGTTTCCCAAAACTCCGCCACCTCACCGCCTCTGCCCCAATTTCACTGAGTTACTGTAGAAATTACTCAAAAAAAAAAAAAAAGAGTTCAATTTCCTCATAGCTGCCTCTGGAAATTCCTTCCACCAAATCTCACGCAAACAGGTACCTGCAAACTTCTTTCTATATTTATATTGCGTATGTATTTCTTCATCTTCTTCCTTTCTTTTTTTACCAGTTAGCCATTTTCTTCCACCTTCATTAGTTTTCTTTTTCATGTTTTTTTTGTTTTTTTTTTGTTTTTTTGTGTTGTTATGTTATTTTCTGCTGCAGACACACCTTGATAGACTGACACTCACACATGGTCTTGCAAGTTGCATCTGTTCTTGATATGCCATTTGGTCTGTTCAGATGCATTTTGATTTATTTTCTTTAATGTGATTAACAAAATCACACTTTTGGTCTTGTTTTCTTCAAATAGCACCAAAAGATTACATCTTTTGCTAAGCAGATTAACTGCCTCCAGCTTCTTGGAGTTCTTGGTATAGATCTTTGAGTCTTTACTACAGGTAATGAAGAATCAATGGTAAATTTTGCTTTTTTTTTTCTTTACTTCACAATCGTGTGCAAGTGGCCCCCTTTTTTTCGTGGTTAAAAATTCATATTTTCTCAGTAATTTTTTTTTTCTGTTGTTGCATGTGAACCTTTACTTAAAATTTGAGAAACTTTTAAAAGATTGCACTTGTGTGGGTAGTTAAGGGTAGTGTATTAAAGACAAAGTACAGATGTGAATGGTCAAAGCAGATACTATACATGGGTTTGGATTTCTCTTCTCATACCTCACTTTCATTATTCATTGAATTCAATTGTCTGTAAAGATCCCATTTTGTTTGGCACCTTATTGTCCTCTCAATGTCCCTTTCTGGTTACCAGTTGGGAAACTGCTTCAATTTTCCCTTTTTTACTTTACTTTTTGTGGGATTTTTTTGGGTTTGTTAGTTGATGTTGCTTAATATAATCTTGATGATGTTAGGTACTTGGTGCAATTGGACTGTGATGGATGCAAATGGTAAGTATAATAAAGATCCAAATACTAGCAATGGAGAACAGGGCACAACAGACAACAATGGAACACCAGATGATCATGTGGTTGTTATGATCCATGGTGGTGATGGTTTGAAGGATCCAAAAGCTAAACCTTTGCCCGATTCGCCCAATGCGTGTGTCGGTTCACCCGAGATCGTCACATTCAGCCCGACTGCCAATAAGCCTCCAAGACCACCACCCACTCCTACCACTCTCACTCGGCGAAAATCACTCGCCAGATCAGTGTACTCAAAACCAAAATCAAGATTCGGCGAACAGCCGGTACCCATTGATCCAGACTTGTTTGACAACCAAAGCGACGCGTCCGCCCGTGTTTCGCCCAACAATAGACCGGGTCCCGATGGCACTAGTAACACACAAAGAGAAACGCGGAGGACAGTCTCTGTGAGCATTACCCCCAAGACACCACTAATGGCGTCACCCATTGGGAACGAAGAGGAAGATGAGAACGAGGAGATATACAAGAAAGTGAAAGTTAGGAACAATTTGAGGCTTAGGAAAGTAAAGATGAGAGTTTTAAGCGAATGGTCATCATTTCTTTTCCTCTTAGGGTGTTTGGCCGCTAGCCTCACGATTCATAAGCTCCGAAGTTGGAAACTTTGGGATTTGGAGTTATGGAAATGGATGACTCTTTTTGTGGTCACTTTCAATGGTCTATTGGTCACTAAGTGGTTCATACATTTCCTTGCCTTATTGATTGAACTCAACTTCTTGTTAAGGAAGAGGGTGTTGTACTTCGTCTACAGTTTGAAGAAGACCGTTCGGGTCTGTCTATGGCTAAGTTTGATCCTTGTCACCTGGGTATCGCTCTTCAAGAATGGAACTCGGAGGTCGCGTTTGGCCAACCGAAACTTGGATTATATTACATGGACTATAGCGTCCTTGCTTCTCGGATCATGTTTGTGGTTATTGAAGACTTTATTGCTCAAGATCTTAGCTTCCTCTTTTCACGTGAACGCGTTCTTTGACAGGATCCAACTCTCATTTTTTCATCAGTACATTTTGTTGACCCTTTCTGGGGCCCCGGTCATGGAGTCCGCTGAGATGTTTAGGAGGACAAACAGCAATGTGAGCCAGCTCAATTTCCACAGGACGAAGAAGGGCAAAGATGGAAAGGAGAAGAAGAGGAAGGTGAGGGAGGTTATTGATATTAACAAGCTTCATCAGATGAAGCGCGAGAAGGTGTCCGCGTGGACAATGAAAATGTTGGTCGACGTGATATCGAATACTGGCTTGTCTACTATCTCTGGTTCGCTCGACAAAGGCGCGTTTGGCAGAGAGTTTGAACCAGCAGCAGATACTGAGATTACTAATGAAGAGGAAGCCATTGCTGCGGCTTATCACATCTTCAGGAATGTTGCACAACCAGGCTCCAAGTAAGACATAAGTTGCAGTTTGTTTCACGGGTTTTTATCCATTGCTTTCTATTATCAAGTAATTTTTATGCAGTCAAAAGGGAACCAAATTTGCATGATCCTTTTTACATTTTTTGTGAAGGTATATTGATGAGTATGACCTAGCGAGATTCTTGATTAAAGAAGAGGTGGATATGGTTCTCCCAATGATAGATGTTGCAGAAACCGGAGAAGTTGACATGAAAACTTTGACAGAGTGGGTGGTACGTTTGTAAATATATGTATATATCGGTTTGTAATTCTATATATTCGTCCGATGTTGGGTGGGTCATAACATGTTTGGTGAATGCAGGTTAAGGTTTACAAGGACCGGAAAATGCTATCACATGCTTTGAACGACACAAAAACAGCTGTGAGACAGTTGAACAAGCTTGTCACCGGGATTCTAGTAATCGTGATAATCATCATATGGCTTTTGTTAGTGGGGATAGCAACAACCAAAGTTTTGGTCTTTTTGTCGTCCCAACTTGTCGTGGCGGCGTTCATGTTTGGGAACACTTGCAAGACTGTTTTTGAAGCCATTGTCTTTGTGTTCGTGATGCATCCTTTCGATGTTGGTGATCGTTGTGTTGTGGACGGTGTCCAGGTAATCAATTGCTCCATTCGTTCCTAAATAACTGTCTATTATGACTTCTTAGATACATTAGATTTTGAATGAATGCAGACAAACATTATGTATACATTCATTTGATGATTTGATTCTTAATCTATCTAGAAAGTCATAAAAGATAGTTATTTAGGAACGCATGGAGTGTATACTCCCTCCGTCCAAAAAAAATCTTCCCAGATTGACTACTTTCTCGGTCAAAAAACTTTTCAAACTTTGACCATAAATTATGGAAAAAATATATTAATTACTCCGGTATCATATAAATTTAATATCAATAGATTTATTTTGGAACATAATTTTCAAATGTTATATTTTTTGAAATATATACTCCCTCCATTCCATATTAACTGTCTTTTAAGACTTTTATAATATATTCAAAAATGAATGAATGCAGACATAAAGTATGTCTACACTCATTCATTTTTAATGTATCTTGAGAACCATAATGAACAACTAAATGGAATGGAGGGAGTATCTATATATACATACATATATTAACGGAAGAAATTTTTGGACTGAGGGAGTTTAATATAGAGCCTAGGGCTGCGTTTGGCATTAACTTCATTTTCTTGAAAAATACTTTCCAACGAGTAGCTTTAACCGCCACTGATTTCAAAGTTAATCTGCACCATTAAAAAAAAGTTGTCGAGAAGATTTCTTTTATTTATGATGTCCTGGAATTTGCAGATGACGGTCGAAGAAATGAACATCCTAACGACTATCTTCTTGAGATTTGACAACGAGAAAATATACTATCCGAATTCAGTTTTGGCTACTAAACCCATCAGCAATTTCAAGAGAAGTCCCGATATGAGCGATTCCTTTGAGTTTTCCATTGATTTCCGGACGCACGTGGAGAAGATAGGAGCCCTAAATGAAAAAGTCAAGAAGTAAGTTGGATGTGTTTTCTATCTTTTAGTGTGGTTTGACCCAAGTGTCTTATCTTTCTTGCTAATCACTCAAATACATCATTATATTGATTCACTTTTTCAGGTACTTGGAAAAATCGCCGCTTTGGTATCCCAATCACAACATGGTGGTGAAGGAGATTGAGAGTATGAACAAAATGAAGATGGCCTTGTTTTTCAACCACAAGATGAACTTCCAAAACTACGGAGAGAAGAACAGGCGTAGAACCGAACTAATCCTCGAGATGAAGAAAATGTTTGAGGATTTGAGCATCAAATATGATCTTCTTCCTCAAGAAGTTCATATCGTCGAGTCTTCAAAAGCAACAATAAGTTAGAAGTAGTGGGGAAAAGGACACTAATCCCACTATATTCTTCTCCTTACATTTGCGGTAAGTTTTAATCTTTCTTTAAGATGAACTTTAGTCATTAATTACATTAAATTTGCATCGAAGTTTAATATAATGAAATGATTTTTCGAAAGTTTAAACATGTTTTTTTGAAGGTGTTCCAATTTTCACGAACGATGAGAGCCTAGCCTAATTCTGCAACATAACGCAAGAAAGGTTTTTGACGAACTTCGGTCTGCTACTAATCCTAACGGACAGCTTTCATAGGTATGTAACCAAACTAAGTTATGATCTGGTAGATTTATAATCTCTTATGGATAGCTTAGTAAGTTTAACCAAACAAGCTAAGTGTTAGTTAAGTGTAACCTATGTTATATGAATTTGATTAATCTGTTCACTATTAGTCATACTACTCGAGAAGCTAGTAGTTTAGTATTTTTTTTTTATTATAAACTTCATTGTTGTGTAATTTTGTATAATTACTCTAAGATTCAATAAATAACACAATGTTCCCACATTTTTAATTTACTCCGTATATGATAATATCAATACTCCGATGCTAACTAGACCACTAGTTTGACTAGCAGAGATGTAAACATATAAAAATTTTGAAAGCATCGATATCATTTATTGAATCCAAGGGTAATTATGTATAAACACGCAATACGACAAGTAATAGGGTGAACTTTTCCAATTCTCAAAAATTAAATTTTTTATTCAAATATTATTAAGAAAATAAAGTAATTATTATGTCTACTATAGAGTAATTTTTTTGTTAGTTCCAATCTTTTTTTTTGCTGGATGAATACATTGGGATGGAAGTAATATAATTTTTGTATAAGAATATGTATGTTGGAAACAACCTTTCTACTTCCGATTAGGCGCAAGGACTGTGTACACATACCTACTTAGACTTTAATCTCGTGAAATCCAATTGAATTGTTCTCGTTGATGTATAATAATATGTATTTTGAAATAACTCTCTCCTAATAAAATATAATCATTATTTTTTTCACTTTTTAATATTTTTCATAATTACTTTCAATAGCCAAGCTCATTCAAAAAACCATTTCAAATATAAAAATTAAATATTATTATTAATAATTTAAAAATAAGACCATCCAAATAACAATCATACCCATTACCCAAGCAGAGACAGACTTGAACTCATATTGAGACAAATATGATATGATAAGAACAACAAAACACTCATTTTTCCAAAGTTTACAAAGGCTTTGAATGTCAAAACATCCCCAAGTAACAAAACAAGAACATTTCAAGGAGGAAAAACAACAACACTTATTTAAAGAGGCCGTACAACATATATATTTTATAACTTGTGTCCACTACAATTTAGAGTTCATAATCTTCTTACCCCAAACAGTGTCATAAACCTTAATGAAAGTCCTAGTGTTCGGAATTCCGAAATTGCCCTCGACGGCGGCGCTCAGAGACGTGATGAGCCGCTTCTTCACGTCGCCGTCCATGACGTCGCCCTGGCCCACGAACTCGGCGTACAAGGTGGGGTCCCCGTTGCACTCGAACACCATCCTGACACCTTTGTTGACACCGACCATGAAAATCCGTTCTGGCTTTTTGAGGATGGCTGACATCGTTGTCACGGCTTGTTTAGTGAACTTGTCGACGGTGGCCTCGTCGGCATTGTGGTTTGTGGTTACTATCAATATTGGCATTTCTTTTCTTTTTTTCTTCTTGAATGCTCACAAGCTAATGATTTTGAACTTATTTCTTTCTTATGTATTTATATATAGGAGATTAGAGGCACACTAATGTACATATATATAAAAAGGTCACCAAAGGTCACATGTATGCTTTGAACTCTCAACCCCTCACATTCTTTGATTTTATTTTTAAAATTTAGACTCACATGCTCCGTAAATTAAGTCTCTTAATTCATTATTAGTCTTTGTACGGAAAATTAAAAGTCAATAGTTTATTAATGGAAGATGATAAGATTTTATTTAATTATTACACCAATTTACTATCATTCCTGCTTATATACTATTTTCGTCCCAAAAAGTCGTTTATAGTTTTACATTAACCATAAGTTGTTAAAAAAATATACTCGTTTTGTTATAATGCAAATTTAATATTGTTGTGTTCATTTTCAGATTGGGTTTTGATATACTCTATATCAAATTTTTATAGCATTTGTTTATTTAAAACTATATTTTTTTAATTTTCTAAATATATAGTAGTTTGACCAAAAAAGTCAAAGTGTAAAAAGTTTTTTTGGGATGGATGAAGTATATTACTGCTATTATTATTATTATTAGTGTAGATTGATTAATTTTTTTGTTGAGGAAATTAAATAGACGGATATGGAATAAACCTAATTTACATCAACTCCTATTTGGTAAAAATATTATGGGTGTATTTAATTTTTTACTTGTTTTGAGACAATTGTTATTATGGATGTGTGTGTGTATCTGTTTGATGAATTTTGGAAGATTGATAAGAAATAAGCTGTGAACTTTATAAGAAGGGATATGACTTTTGAGATCTGGTGATGAAATGAAAGTGTGAAGAGATTTGAAATGAACGTTTTAGTACGAACTACGAAGTAATTGGTAGCTAGGGGTGATCGACCAGTGATGAGGGTGGTCGGCAGAAAGGGAACGATGATGGTGGTGGTCGATCTCTTGTTTTGCAAAACTTTTGATATAAGGATAATTTTAAATGCGCAAAGTTTAATTTTTAATTCAACTCTTATCCTGAAATAAAATGAATTAAAAATAGCTTAAGTCAAAAATTGGAGTAGGCAATTTAATTTTGGAAATGAATCAGAGTATGATTTAAGAACAAACCAATCCTAAATAAAAGCTAATTCTTCAGTTTTTTATGTGATGTTTATAATTTTTTTAATGTACTAAAAAGAGCAAATGGAGACATGTATACCAATTATCAAATATTTTTTATTTATTATATACGGAGTAACAATCATAATGACTTTCTGAATGTAGATGAAAATTTTTTCAATAAAACACTAACTTCATGAACAAATATTTAAAACATTTTCTTTGGGGGGTACAAAACGCAATAAAGGGGTCAAGGTCAAACACTAAACAAAGATTAGTGAAAGGACTTTGACCATTAAAGAGACCATTCATATGCCCTAATCACAAATTAAAGAAACCACGTACTTGAACATTAATCAAACTGCAAAGTAACACAACATCACTTAAGTCTTAAAAACAAAGAAGAGGAAAAACCTGTAGAACACAAAACAATACTAAGCCCTCGATTAAGCACATATCTATTTTTGCTTCTTCTTTAATTTTGATGTTTTCTTTTGATAATTTGTCATCCATGTCATGTACATTCTCCATGTATCCGCACCAAATCTCATGTATACATATATCTCGCGCCTCGATCAGTTCTTGAAGTCCAACAACCCGTGCCCGGGAATGAACCTCGCGTTCTCCTCGGTGTACACATGCGTCTCATTCTTCAGCCTGCAGATCAAACAAACACCGTACATAATATCTTCTGTATTGTTAAAAAATATCCATTTTTTGTCCGTTACGTGTTAGTTATTAGGTCAAAAATATTTTTGGTCAAACCTAGTAAATTAAAATGAGAAGTTAACAATTTTTTTGGATGGAGGGCGTACTATTAACTAATGATTATTATATTGAAAGTTGAGGTTTATAAAGTATGTACGTGTTTGCGACGGTCTTGTTCAGGATGGTGGAACTGTAGAACGAAGAGCCGTTGAGATACAAGAGCTCCCCCTCAACTCTCTCTGCAATTCTCGCGTCCAGTTTCGCGGAATCTATGCATAATGGCTCGTCTGAAGCCTACAAAATTATTAATCTCTATTTCAGCCACACAATATTTAGTGTCGTAATAATTGTGCCCGTTAAACTCGGCAAAATAAATTAGAATTGGGAGTGTACGAACCATAACCCATCCCCATGTATCTGCAAAGGATGGGACATGTGCTGTGAAAGCAACTACATCTGCATTCACATGAAAAAGAAAAAATATATAACATTCCCAATTTACAACAAATAAGACATTAACTAGTATACGACTCAAATATTTTTACCAAACATGCTTTTGAAATATACATATATATACTTACGGTTAAAAACGTGTTTGATCGTGTTGTAGATAGATGAAAACACTTCGGTGTGGGTGAAAACTCCAGCGGGCCCCGCCTATTCGATACAAAAAAAAATGATTTTTGTGATTCATCAAAGTCGGATAAACCTGGATATATGATTATTAATTAAGCTTAGTATTACCTGAGTAACAAAGATTCCATGATGATTAAGCTTGGGCTTAACAACATTTTGATAGAAAGATTTGGTGTAGAGTTGATAGCAAGGCCCTCCCTCCACTGGATCTGCCAAATCTCCCACTATCACATCATATTTCTCTCCCTTCTTCTCTAGCTCAACCCTTAATTCACACCAAATTTAATTAATTATTTAATAATAATAATTAGATAATTATATTAAAATAATAATACTCCGTAGTAGTAGTAGTAAATCTAGTAGTAATAATAATAATAATAGCAATAATAATGATGGCATTAAACATGATATGCGTGAAGAAAATGAAATGAGTGGGCCCAATGGGGCAATTATCATGAGACTACGGTGTTTGATTTGGAAAGCCCAATGGGCCCTTCAGACGGCATCTTGGAAGACCAGATTAATAAGAGTAGGCCCAACACGGGGCTATTAGATAATATCATATGGTACGTACTTGGCATCATTAATGACCAGATTAAGCTTTTTGTTACGGAATGCATCATAGTTTGCGGTTAGGTGTCTCCGGCAAAAGTCAACAACCTCCTGCAACAACAACAACAACATTAACCCAAGCATCTTGCGTTAATTACGCACTTAACAGTCTTAACTTCCCTACCGAAAAAAAGAGGTTATGCAATCCTTCATTATTATTCAATAAGATCAGTCATTATTAAATTATATCACAATATATTCTGTAATCACAATATTCTATATCAGTTATTCAATTTACACTGATTGTAATACAATTATTATAAAGAAGAGGAATTTACGTAAATAGCACTAAAACATAATGACTTTTCCTAAATAGCATCACATGTGTTTTTCTTCCCAATGTAGCACTTTTAGTCATTATGCATTAGTCATTATTCAAGTAAATATTCACTATCACTGGATATTATGGATATTATTAAGTGCTATTTAGGAAATAAAACAATTTAAGTGCTATTTAGGGAAACAATTTAAGTTTTAGTGCTATTTAGTGCAAAATACTCCATATATATATATGTCTCGTTAAAGTCAATAACACAGTTTGACAAAAAAGTCAAATTATACTTTTACAAGATTTGAAAGAGAGAGAGTATGTATATATAGAGTAGTACTAGCTACCTGATCAATATCACACATGACCACATTCTCAATGGTTTTGTGCCTAAGTGCTTCCCTTGCTGCTGATCCTTCACCACCTCCCATTATAAACACTCTTTTTGGGCTGCAATTATATATATTTTGACACCAAATTAAAATTCACATTTTTTCAATTTTAATGGAGTAAATTGTACTCTCTCCATTTTGCGAAAGAATTCCGTTTTTTAAGTTTTGGCAAATAACGACGTAATGAGTGTATGTTTTGTAGTTTAATTTTACCTTTGGACGTAATCTGTAAAAATATATAATATAGAACGTGAAGATTAGATTAATAATGAATAGAAAAGTTGCATATAATAGCTAGGTTGGGTCATAAGGGTAGTAAGGATAAAATAGACGTTTGATTAGAAAGTATAGAACTATTTTATGATGACCGCCGAGACGAGTGAAAAGTGAAACGGAGGGAATAGTATATACATGGTTAGCACGGTGATTAAATAAATGATTAAGAGTAATAATAAATATAATTAAAAGTGTACGAACATACTTAGGATGGCATAAGAGGGGAGGATGAATGAGGCATTCATGATAGATGAACTCATCCATCTCTGCGCTCTGCATCTTCCCATCTATCACCAGCACCTGCATATATGCATCCATATGATTTACTTAGGATGTAACACTTTTAGTCATTATCCATTAGTCATTATTCAAGTAAATGTTCGCTATACCTGGACATTATATTATTCTTCTTTCTGGACATTATTAAGTGCTATTTAGAGAATAAAATAATTTACGTGCTATTTATGGAAATGACTTAATAATTTTTAGTGCTACCCCATCCATATACATTGATTAATTAATTAATTACTTTCATTTCGTAAGCTTGGATATATATATATATATATATATATATATATATATATATATATATGCTTATTAACCATACTTCTATTTACTGTACTATTAGGAGTGTATTTATATATGCAATAATTATGCATGCATGTATACGTATATAATTATAATGATCATGTATGTCATGCATGCATATATGCATGGCGCGCATGGCATGACATGATGACCATTATGCATGCATGTGTCGTGGTTGTAATCATCGCTCATTCACATGCATGTCCACTTTAATTACTCCGTAATTAACTATTCACGCCCCCAAATAATAATAATAATAATAATAATAATAATAATAATAATGATAATGATAATGATATTGATAATAATAATAATAAACGTTTTTTCCCTTGGCCTATTGTTTTAAATTAACTTCTTTTTTTTTTGAAACAGTTTTAAATTAACTTTAATTTGACCATCATATATTAAAAAAACACGCTGCTTTATGACGTAAATATAATATTATGAATAGATTTATTTTGAATATATGGTAGCATTATTGATCAATTACTCCGTATAATATTATAAATAGATTTATTTTGAATATATGGTAGCATTTTTAATCAATACCTTTCCAAACCTCTTTGTGTCCAAGAGAGCAATGTCTTGGTACTCACTTTTTCCTCTATGTAGCATCCTATTGATGAGAGAAAAAAATGGAAAATAGATAAAACTATATTATATTCTATTATTACTATTAAATCTCCAGATAATAATATAAAAAACAAATGGAGTGGATATTGGGGCATGGGAAGATAATGTAACATAATTTATGCCTAAATCCTCTCTAAAAATATAATGTGGTAACAATAATACAATATAATTCTTGGAAACTCTTTTTATCAAAATAAAAAAAATAAAAAAATAAAATAAAAATAAAGAGGACTATACCCGTTGAGAGCAAAGGACCATTTGAGATCAACATCAATTTCTTCCTCAAACCAATTAGAGCCATCATTATCACTAAATAAATCACTCTTCTTCTCATTATTAGCATTACTATTAAGAAGCTCCACCATGGAAGCAATCTCAAGGTTTGGGTCACAATGAAGAGCCTTATTAGTGGTAGGGAAGAACTCTATGCTACCTTCACTACCCATATTAATTATCATTAATTAATAATATAATTATATTTAGGTGGGGAAAGATTAAAAAGGGATTAAAGAAATAAGTTGGAAGGCAACAAAGAAGGTGGGATAGATGGATATATATATAGAGGAGAATACAAAGTGGAAAGCAAGTTAAGTGTGATCCCTATTGTCCTACAATACCTCTTGAGCCCTTTTTATATATAGTGTAGGATAAGATAAAGGAGACAAGTTACTTTAATTTACACTTTAGGTGAAAGACTTTGACTTTTGAGTCCCCAAAAGGAGAGATATCATAGGAAAGCAAGTAGTTCCTCCCTCTTTAAAAGATTGCCACCGTTTAATTTTTTTAATCAAATTGTGGCACCATTTGACCGTGAATTATGGAAAAAGTATATTTAATTATAATGTAAATTTAGTAAAATTGGGTTTATTTTAAAATATAATTTTGAAATATCAAATTTTTATAATATCGCATGTAGTTTTTACTTTATTAAATATGAATGAATTCAACACAACAAAAAATATAGGAAAATAATATTTTCCTAGCTCCAATTTTTTATATTGTCATTTCAAATTGTACTATTCACTCTCTTGCATATATAGTATATTTTGTAATGCCAATAACAAAAAGTGGAGTATAAATATTATTCCTTCTGTCTTATAATAATTTTCCCAGTTCGGTTTACGAGGTTTGACTGAAATTATTTTTCAATTCAATTTATTTGATTATAGGTTTAAAATTAAGAAATAAAATTATATATTTTAAAACTACATAAAAACTTCTACAAAACAAGAGGTGACGTGACTATATTATTTTATCAAATAATTAACGAAAATAGGTAAAGAGAGATTAAAGTTTGACCATGTGAATAGTGACTGGGAAGATCATTTTAGGACGGGGGAATATTAAGACATATTTGCAGTAAATAACACTAAAACTTAAGTCATTTTCCTAAATACTCCGTATCACTTAAATTGTTTTATTCCCTAAATAGCACTTAATAATATCCATAATGTCCTGTGATGGCGAATATTTACATGAATAATGACTAATGCATAATGACTAAAAATGCTACACTGGGAAGAAAAACACATGTGGTGCTATTTAGGGAAAGTCATTATGTTTTAGTGCTATTTAAGTAAATTTCTCAGGGAGAAAGACCAAAGTAGAACTAAAACATTGAAAATACACCAAAATAGGACTTCCATGTTTTTATTCTCGAAATAAGACTTACATTACCAAACATGGTCATATACATTACCAAGAAAGTATAGTAATTTGCACATGTACACTGCCACATTACCACAATGCAAAGTCACATTACCACAATGGAAAGTCCTATTTTTGTACTTTTCTCTATGTTTTAGTCCTATTTAGGATTATTTCTATTTAATTTAAATATCACCTAAAATAGAAGTAAATATACAGAGTAACTCAAATTGGCATTGGAAGTTTTTTTTAAGATAAAAATATATATAAAAGGCCTATTTTAATTGAATTCTTTTCATATTTTGACTTTTACTTTAGTCTTTCTCCTTTTTTTGAAGTTAAATTAAACAAGATAAACTTTGATTGTTATTTAAAAAAAAATGGTACTCCGTATTATATATTAATACAAAAAAATCATTAGAATAATCACACAGTAAGAAACTTTCATAAAACTATTTTTACTGTACGAGTATTAACAGGTACTCCGATCCTTTTTTTTATTGTATTAACATGTGAGGAAATTTTTATTTAATTTATAATCGAACTTTATTCTGTTTGACTAAAAAAAATTTAATTTAGGACAAATATTCTCAAACATAAGAAATATTATTTTGATAAAAAAAATAGTCGGTATATCCATAATAAGATTATTCTAATATTCTTATACCAATGTGAATTCTTATTTTTATAATTAACATTGTATAGTGCTATTTTTTTTGACATCATATATAGATACTGTTTAGTACGGAGTATTATAAATTCTATTTTAGTACTGAGTATAAAATATTGGGTATTCACTATATTCTATTTAAGTGTTATATCAAAATTCTTACTTTTTTTTGAATGATTTTTTTTTTACTTTTTTTTTAAATGAAAAACTCCTACCACTCACTCTTTCCACCATGCAGCGCAGCATCCTAATGAGTAATCATAATGAGAGAAGAAAAGGGACAAAATAAAAATATTCACCGCTTCTCATAAAAAAACTCTTGTTTTAATAGAATAAATAGAATCAAGTTTGAGGAAATTAAATGATACTCCCTCCGTTTCTCAAAATAGTTCCTCTTTTGACTTTGGGAGGAAATAAGGAAGTGTTAAATTGTAGTTGACATTCCAATTTTGCCCTTGATGTGATAGATAAAAGTAAGATGTGATAGTTTAGTTGTTAGTGAAAAAGTATAATGTGATAGGTAGGGTATGAAAAAATAGGGGTAAAAGTGGTATTTTAATAGAAAAGGGAAGTGTTTTAAGAAAAACAAAAAAAATGAAAGAGGAAGGATTTTAAGAAACGGAGGGAGTATTTGAGAGTGTCTAATTAATTAATTAACTATTTAATATATATGTTTTAATTTATCATATCCATTGCTTTTTATTTAGAAAAGGCACCAAGTCAAACTAGTCAACGAATGTGTTTTACTTAGCTAAGCCAACAACAAAAAATTAAAGTTCTGTTATATTTTAATGAAAATTTTTTGCAATTTTAAAATCGGACTCTTTTTATTGGAGGTAAAAGTAGCATTGCAAATTGTTTTTGCCTATTGAATAAATGCAAACTAGAAGAATATCAAATGATAGGAGTGATAATCTATCTTAACAGGATTAAAATATTAAACTTGTATCAAAATTGACATTATATTTTTTATCTCGTAAATAGAGTGTTAGTTAATTGACATTGTCCAATGCCATTGTATATACCCCGGAGTATGTTAGTATCTCATAGTATTGGCATTATAAGCCTAGCCTATTTTTATACATATAAAAATATTGAAATCCTACCAATTAGTTAAAAGTAATAACCTATAAAATATCATTTACTATTGTGATTTTTTTTTTAAAAAAATACTCATATATAATAAATGAGTTTGAGGTTAATGGGTTAGTGGGGATAGAGATTATGTTACCTGCATGCCTTTGGGAGTGCATGTATAGAATGATGTGAAATAGATAAGGTTTGGTGTGTTGCTCCCTCATGCTAATGGATTTTCTTTGGTTTTAATCATTACATTTTAACATGCTAGCTTTGCACCTCCAACCATTTCACTCCCCTCAATAAGGGTATGCTGCAATAAATGTGTACAAATTAATTTATGCAAGTTTACATTTTTTTATTTAAAATATGGTTAATGAATCAAAATAAGAAATTTAATATTTTATATCCAAATATGAATATTAATATTAAAAATCCAATATTAAAAAATACTTTAAAATATCAACGCACAATGCCGAATTGCGAACGTTACATTGAGGCATTGAGCATTGTCAACACTCTTATTTAGAGCAGCGCCAGTGGCGGGGCAACTGCTTATCACGCCCATCCCAAGCATGCTTTTGCCTCGTGTGGCTAAGCTGTTTTGCCATGCTTGGCATGGCAGTCGCGAGCATTTCCTTTTTTGAATTTATTTTTTAAAATTTTTTTGTTAAAAAAATAAGATTTTTTTAAAAAAGAGAGTCCATCTACTTTTATTAAAAAAGATAAGTAAAAATTTTTTATTATTTAAAACATGTTTTAAAAAGTGTAGAAATTGATAAAAGCAATAATTTGCCATTGGGAGAAATGCTACTTTACTCACTCGTCACACACTGACTGGGTTGATTTTGATTGATTAAAATAACCTATGTCGCCGTGTGCCATTTCTTTTTTTACTTGTCCTTACCGACGTGCGACGGTGGCTGTCAACGTCGTTAGAGAAGAGAGAAATCTGACGTGCATTGGTATAGTAGTTGCTGACGTCGAAGAAGAAGAAGAGAAGAATATCACACTTAACTATATCTTTTTTTATTTTTTTAACTCCACAAAAACATGCCCTCAACTTGATTGCCCAACAAGGCTAGCACGAATCCTGTTTGCCCATTACCAGCATGCCATCCCCACTTGAAAAACTCTGTATTTAGATTTGATTAGTGACACTAGTGATGAAAGATCTCACTCCATAATATTTTCTTAGAAATTATATTCTAAAAGAAAATTATTATGCCCCATAAAAAAACATTTTCTATTGTTTTTTACATCACACGACATTTTCTACTCACGTAATAGACTATCTTTTTTTATACAGACATAATTTATTGGTGGGATGTCCACAAAAATATTTCATTCATATCGCACTGATAAATTTTGTGAGTGGAGGGGAAAAGAAAATACCATAATGTATAGCTTCAAATACAAAATTTGTGAATTAAAATTGTTAGGGTATCACCCATGATGTAACATGTTTTTGCTTATAAAAAAAATGGATTAGCCTCATCTTCAAGGGTCCCTTCAGACCCGGCCGAACGGTAGGTAAATTCGATTTTTATCGTAATTTGGTGACAAAGAGTAAAAGCATGCACGTGGTATTTGCAGAAGTCTTATGTTTAGCCTTTATTGGCGCCATGGTCTAGACTTTATCCCATAAAGTAATACGGACAGGTTCTCCATGTCACTCACTTTGAGTGGCCACGGAGGACGCTGCCTAATTACAATATTTACGGTGCTCTGTTCGTAAAATTGATAGTTCCTATACCCTCCAAACTTCCTAATAAACCACCCCACGTCCCCACCCCATTCCAACACTAACCCATCCTCCACCCACGTCAATTGCGGGGAAGGCGCTAGGAATTGGGCCATTATTTCAATAGCCCAGTACTTGTAAATATGAAGGCAATGAACGTCATTCTTTAGTTTAAAATACCTCCCAAAAAGTCTCATACTAATAGAGTAGTGTCGAACTTTTTTTTGTCATGTTTTTTCTTTTCTTCTAGTGTGGACGATTTGCTCCAAGGTTTTTATTTCTTGAGTGAATCCATAACACCATTTTTTTTTCTTTTTAACTTTGAAGGCTAAGTAAGGTCTCTAGGATGTATAGCCAAGTATTAAGGACAATATAGGATGCCAAGTCTAAACAAAAAATTGTAACTTGCATCACATATTTCTATAACATTTGAAAATAAATACAATGAGGTGCAGAGGTCA